AATAAACTGGCATGCAAGCCAGGGACTGCCTCGACTCTGATGAATGATGTATGTTTGGGCTGCCTTGCACGGAAATCCACTAGGATGTCCCGATTAGCCTCTGTTTGCAATTTATTCTTGGAATGCGTGCCAAGCTCTGGAAGGCTGCTGATTCTTGATTTGTTGCAACAGAGAGCAGGAAAGGGGCATGGCAATGTATTTTCACCAATGTATGCATGCCTCGATCCTTGTGCCACCAATTGCGCATCTCGATGCATGATGGCTGAGGAGTCGAATTGCACGACTCAATATGAAATGAATGCACATATGGACACAACAAGGCCTAGACTCCATCATGGATAATCCGGAGTGTCGGTGACTGGGAATTGAGACACGTTCCGTCACTCGGAGTACGAAACGTCCCTTGTTTCCCGTGCTCGGGCTAACTCCTATCCCAAGCACAATGCAATATGCATGACATGCATGAATGCAACTAATATACAACCTAGCATGCACAATGCTATGAGATGGCATACACGATGCACGAGATAACATGACATACACAATGCGCTAACATATAACCTAGCATACACAATGCTATGAAATGAAATGGCATACACAATGCAATATGAGCTTACACCAACATGAGTGGACCTTAGCCACACTCACATACGAGGCCATAAGATGAAAATGAGACAACTCGGAATGCGTGCACATATGCACGCAAACCGAGGACCGACCCTAAGGCACGAAATGCCACTCTAACAAGACATAGCAAAACATGGAATATGGCATACAAGCATGCAAATTTCAGCGCTAAAATATGACCCAAAACAGACTCGAATCATGGAAACATGGCACCCGATGCATGAAATGAACCCGAAACACAAAACTAGGCATATGCATTGGCCTATAACTATACAAAACATGCATTATTTGAACATGAAATGTGAATACAGATTCGAGGCATCCCAAAAACAAGCATGTTTACAGTTTTAAGCAAGGCTAAACAATGAACACAAATGGGGCTAAGCTAGCATGCAAAAATGGCCCTAAATGTGAGATAAAGAAGCAAGTCGTGGCTGCTGGCCTCAAACAAGAGAGGGCCCTTAAACAATATTGGAGAGGGACCCAAAACATGGCATTTTACAGTTTATGATCAAACCCAAAACAGTTCTTAAGCATGCTCAAAATACTATGCAAAACAAGGCCAAAAAGAGAGCTATAACACAAAGTACAAAAACGTGCCTCAAACAGTAAAAGACCCTTAATGAAACATTAAGAGGGGGTCAAAATAAGGGCATTTATAGTTCGGACCAGAGCCCAAAAACCGAAGCACAAGAGGCTAAGAAATCATGCAAAAATGGAGCCAAAAGAGAGATACAAAGGCAAGTGGCAAATGGAAGCCTCAAACAGTGATGAGCCCTTCAACAATGTTGAATAAGAGCTCAAAATAAGCCACTTTATAGTTTATGACAGAGCTCAAAATAGTTTATACATAGGCCTAAAATACTATGTAAGGAAATGGCATAAAAGAAAGGTAAAGAAGCAAGTGCCACAAGGAAGCCTCAAACAGTGAGATCCCCTTAAACAAAAATGAAATAGAGCTCAAAAAAATGCTATTTTCAGTTAGGGTTGGAGCTAAAAAAATTAAGCACAAGGAGCTAGAATATGAACCAAGAAAAGGGTCAAAAAGGGGAGAAGAGGACTTACCCTTGAAGACTAGTCTTTGACAGCCTTTTGAACCAAAATGCAACACTCCTAAGCTTTGAAGAACAACCTCAAGTTGCTGGAATGGAGGATGGAAGGGTGGGGCTATGGGTTGGTGAAGAACCAAGGGGGTTTTTAAGGCTTAGAGTAGAGAGAGAGAGAGATTTAATATGAGAGCTCCAAACCAAAATTTTCTAACCCCTAAACCAGAGCTGGGAGGTTGGTTTTATAGGCAAAAGAGGGGGAGAAAAGGGGGGAAAATGGGGGGGGAAAACAATTCAAGTTTTCTCCCAAAAAGTTGGCCCCCCGGATACAAAATCTGGGGGGAAAAGAGATGCATATTTGAACTGTATCAGCAGCAAGGAGCAAGGCCGGCTGGTTATTGAGGTTGCAGGTGGCCGGCCGGCTACTTCCCATGGCCGGCCGGCCAAGGGTCAAAAGGTTCAATGAGGATTAGTGGCCGGCCACCACATATTGGTGGCCTCCCATGTGTGCTCAACACAATCATGTGGTCAAACACTGGAGATATTGAACCAGGAGAGAGAACAACCCATTTTCAAAGGGGTTCAAAAGCAATTACTGGCCGGCCACCAAATATTGGTGGCCTCCCAGATGTGTACATCACAAATATGGGGTTTAGGGTGCAAGAAAATGGCCCAAGGGTGGTCAACATTGGCTTTGAAGTGAGAAAAAACGGGCGACGGAGGGCGATGAAGGGATAAAGTTGGCTGACAGAACAATTACTGGCCTCCCATCCCTCTATGACCTTCCTAGCAATGAAACAGAGGTCCCTGCCCAAAACGAACCAAAACCGATGCAAAATGAAGGTTCGGGGGCCGAAACGGGCAGCCCGGGGCACCAAAAACTGACTGTTAGGCACCGAGAGTGGTGTCCGACCACGAAGTCGGTTTCTCGAACCACAGTGTCCCTCAAAAGGGAGCAAATAAGATGTATGCCAAAACCGGAGCGAACGGAGGTGGTTAAGCAGTCCCGATCCGAGGCACACGGCCAACGGCCCCGAAAAATCAGAAACCGGACTCCAAACGGGCAAAATGGCCTACGACCACGAAACGTAGCCTACGGCCACTGAGAGATGATCTACGAGACCTCTCCCTCCCTTCGGGAAGAGAAAATAGAGAAAATGGAGCCTGGTTCGCAAACCGAGGCAAGACACGAAAGAGCCCAGAAGTCCGGAGGCAAGGCTCGCGACCGAGACTCTGAAACTTCTGAACGAGTACAATATGCACCATCATCGAGCGCTCAATCGGTGACTTCTGAGTCTTAAGGTCGGTCAAAAATGGGGTGTCTACACATTCAAGCGAGTTGGCACTACAAGAATTCGCACTTTTGCTGACTAAAAATTTGGTCGGCAAAAGCCCATTTTTAGTCGGCAAAAGTTATCTGCGACTAATTTTTTTGATCGCCACTTTGGTCGCCAATTGAGGGTCGCGGAAAGTAATTAGCGACTAAAAAATTTTTTAGTTGCGAAAAAGTTATATTTGCCGACTAAATTTTTGGTCGCTAAATATATAATTACTGCGACTAATCCATTTAGTAGCTAAAACACTTTAGTCGCGAAAAGTCATATTTTCCCGACCAAACATTTTAGTCGCCAATTCGCACATTCAACGACCAAATAGTTTGGTCGGCATTTGTCGCCTATTTCCACGACCTACTAATTTGGTTGTAAATTGTCACATTCCGCGACCAAAAAATTTGGTTGGCAATGCATTCCATGACTAAAAGATTGGTCGGCAATATTCACTACAAAAAAATTACACTTTTGCCTACTAAAAATTTGGTCGGCAAAAGTCCATTTTTAGTTGGCAAAAGTCATTCGCAACCAATTTTTTCGGTCGTCACTTTGGTCCCAATTGAGGGTCGGCAAAAGTAATTGGTGACCAAAACTTTTGTTAGTCGGGAAAAAGTTAGATTTGCCGACTAAATTTTTGGTCGCTAAATATATCATTACCACGACTAATTCATTTAGTCGCTAAAACACTTTGGTCGCGAAAAGTGATATTTTCACGACCAAATATGTTTGTTGCCAAAAGCAAAAAATCGGCGACCAACTATTTTCGTCGCCAAAAGTTGAGGAATCGCCAACTAATAATTTAGTCGCCAAAAGGTAAGGAATTGCCGATCAATGATTTTAGTCGCAAAAGTGTAAAATTTGGCAACCAATTATTTAGTCGTTGGTCGCCAAAAGCAAGAAAACAATACACCTGTAATTCCTAATAATTCATTCAATCCATAATAAACCTATAATTTTAAAGCATCATACAAATCAACTGAATCATTAACATTCGACATAATACATAATTCATTAACATTCGACACAATCCAACATTCAATCCAATTTTTTTTTTTTGAACAATCAATTTTTGTTTATAAACATTCAATCCAATATTGAACAAAATTCATTCAACCCAACCTAAATATAACATTAAAATTCATCATATTTTCCTGCTCAATCCCAAACTTTACAATCATTCCATTCAAAACATTAATTGAGACAAGTTTTAAACATCCAGCCATTGAAAACCAGTAAGTAATTGAACAAAAATTAAAAGGAAAATCAATGAAGGAATCCAAAAAAAATTCTACACAGGAAGGAATATATATGGTTTTGAAGCATCAGCCTTGTGCTTGATCGTTTTTGGAAGTCACCTACAAATAAAATAAGAAAAGTTAGAATCTAAAAAAAATCCAAAATGAAGTATTCTCATAAAAAAAAAAAATTAACCATATGGCAAAAAAATTATGTGATTACATTACAAACTTTTGATGATGACTATACCACAATTAACCATATGTCATATTTTAAAAAATGCAAAGAAAAGGGGAGGAAAAGAAAAAAAAGAAAAAGAAAAAGAAGCCCAGTAAAGGGAAACATGAAAATTAATTCGAAGTTACAGTATAGATGACAAAAGGGCCAATAGTGGGACCTTCACCACCGCTTCACAATGTCAGGTGTGATGAAAACATATTCTACAAATCAATAACTGGGCCTCAACCATCATTATTGGGTGGCAAAATTGACACTCAAGTCCTACAAGAAAGAGTTTTATTTACTACTACAAAAATAGTTAAAGATCACACTTTGACAAAAAAAAAGATCTCACTTTTATTGGAAGTGTGATAAAAAAAAATTAGATTGATATTTTAATCACACTTAATTTGATTGAGTGATAATATTTATTTTTTATGTCACTTTTCAATTAAGTGTGATTATATATATATTTTTAATCACACCTTCTAATTAAAGTGTGATTATATATACACTACTACTTTTTAATCACACTTTTTAAATAGGTGTGATTATATAGATATTTTTTAACCACATTCTAATTAAAGAGTGATTATTTATATATTTTTTAATCACACATTTTAATTAAAGTGTGAATATATATATATTACTACTTTTTAATCACACTCCCTAAATAGGTGTGATTGTATAAAATATTTCAATTTGATTTTTATATAAAATATACTATTCCCAAATCCGCGCCTCTATTCTACCCATGAATGATAGAGATGACTCACTACTAGAAAATGAGGCTTTTGACACGGAACTTTTTCACCCATTTTTTCATCTTTCTATCTCTCTGTCTCTGTCTCTATCTCTGTCTCTCTTCTCTCTCTCTCTCTCACACTCATCACTCTTCTCTGTCTGTCTCTCTCTCTCTCTCTCTTTCTCTCTGTCTATCTCTCTCATCTCTCTCTATCTCTCTTCTCTTTATCTCTCTCGCTCATCTCTCTCTGTCTCTCTCTGTCTCTCTCGTTTATCTCTTTTCGCTCTTTTTTTCTCTCACTCTCTCTTTGTCTATATCTTTTCACGCATTTTTTCATCTTCCTCTCTCTCTTCTTATTCTCTCTCTCACTCATCACTCTTTTCTTTCTGTCTATCTGTCTATCTCTCTCTCTCTCTCTCTCTCTCTGTGTCTCTCACTCATCTATCTCTTCTCTCATCTCTTTTCTCTCTCTGTCTCTTTCGCTCATCTCTTTTCTCTCTATCTCTCTCATCTCTTTTCTCTCTCTGTCTCTTTCGCTCATCTCTCTTCTCTCTATCTCTCTCATCTTTCTCTGTCTCTCTCGCTCATCTCTCTTCTCTCTCTCTCTCTCTCTCTCTCGTTCATCTCTCTTTCTTCTATGTCTCTCTCGCTCATCTCTCTTCTCTTTATCTCTCTCTATCTTTTTTCTGTCTCTCACTCTCTATCTTTTTGTCCCTCTCTCTCTCTTCTCTTTCTCTCTCTTTTTCTCTCCCACTATGTTCGCGTTGCTCACTCTCTCCCTTCTGTCTTCTCTATTTACTGAGCTCCCTCTCGATTTATCTATCCACTACAAGAAAATGCATTTTTTGCGACCACTTTGTCTCTCTCTCGCTCATCACTCTGTCTTTGTCTCTTTCTCTCTCTTTCTCTCCTCTATCTGTCTCTCACTCATTTTTCTCTCTCTCACCACCCATCTCCTTTACCACCTTCACCACTACTGCAAACGTCATTCCACTACCACCATTACTACCACTGTCGGCACTTCACCTCTACGACTACCATTGCTACTACCATTGCCACCACTACCACTACTGCCACTATTACTACCATTACCTCTCATTCACCCGTGCCACTTCATCTACTCTACCACTACCACAACTTCACCACTAATCTCCTTCGCCGCCACCACCACCACCACCATCATCTCTTATCTACCACCTTCACCACTACTGCCATTACTACTACCATTACCTCTCATTCACCCTTGTCACTTCATCTACTCTACCCCTACCACAACTTCACCATTAATCTCCTTCGTCGCTACCACCACCACCACCATCATCTCTTATCCACCACCTTCACCACTACTGCCACTCACAGATAAACTCTCTCTCTCAATCTCTGTCTCTGTCTCTGTCTCTCTCTCCCGATCGTTGATTTTTTTTGTTATATATATATATATATCTGATCTGACCTAATCGGCTCCCTCACTCTCTCATCTCATCAGTCTCACACTCACTCTCTGGTTTTGCATCTCTGCACCGATCGACTCACACACGGGTAAATATGAATCTGTCTGTTAATCTGTGTTTGTTTTGGCACACCGATCGACTCTCACACTCACTCTCTGTGTTTGTTTTGGCCTCTATTTGGAATGTAAATATGAATCTGTTATTAATCTGTAAATATGAATCTGTTTTGGCCTCTATTTGGAATGTAAATATGAATCTGTTTTGATCTTAGTTGTGTCTTAGTTGAATCTCTTTGTTTTATTAATTGTGTTGTGTCTGTTATTAAATCTGAAATCAGAAAAATAGGTGGAATAATTTTGGTCTCTAATTGTGGAATTCATATTGTGTCTGTTATTGAATCTGTTTTGGCATCTAATTGTGTCCGAAGAAAGGGCACACCGTTCTGCTGAGGCTGTTGCGTTAAAAGATTACGATCACCTGGAGCCTGCCAGGGTCTTCCATGCTGCTCGACTAGTCGCCATCCTTGAAGCCTATGCACTTTATGACCCTGAAATTGGATACTGCCAAGGGATGAGCGATTTACTTTCTCCAATAATAACTGTGATACTGGAGGACCATGAGGCTTTCTGGTGCTTTGTTGGTTTCATGAGGAAGGCTCGGCATAATTTCCGGCTAGACGAGGTCGGAATCAGGCAGCAATTGAACACTGTTTCAAAAATCATCAAATGCAAGGATTCTCACCTATACTGACACTTGGAGATGCTTCAAGCAGAGGCACTACAGGAAATTAGGGATTTAACGGCGTTTAATTAACGGCGTTTTAGTAAACGTCACTTTTTTTAATAATTAACGGCATTTTTTAAACGTCACATTTGTTATTAGTTAAAACGGTACCGTTTTGTGAATCAAGACGTTTGAAAACCGCCTCCAAATCCTGTCTCTCTTCACACCCTCTCCTGTCTCTCCAAACCTTTATTTTGAAAACCCCATTTTGAGCACAGCCGTCACTCACTCACACTCTCACTCTCTTTCTCTCTCTTTCTATCAGATGATCGATTGTTCTTCAGTCTCTTACGCAGTGATTCTTCTTCGATTCTTCTTCAGTTCGGTGATTCTTCTTCGATTTTGAGCACAGCTCCGTGATTTATCTCCATGGATTTGGAATTCGTCTTCTTCGATCAGAGGTTAGTTGTCCTGTTTGTGATTTATCTCTGTTTTGGATCAATGTTTTTCTTAGTAAATAATTTTGTTTAGGGCTCTATATAGGTCTTAAGCCCGGGTTCTCGATTCTTCTTCACTCTCTTACTCTGTGATTGTTCTTCGATTCTTCTTCTGGTTGGTGATTCATCTCGGGATTGCGATTTGGAAGCTCCATTTTGAGCACAGCGCCGTGATTTATCTCTGTGGATTTGGAACTCTTTGGCTTCTTCGATCAGAGGTTAGTTGTTTTGTTTGTGATTTATACATACTACTACATATCTGATTCAGAACCCCGAAATCCATGTATACATATCTGATTTATACATACTACTACTACATTTGAATTTCAAAAGGACTACAACTAGCAGTGGAGGTGATGATGTGGCTTCTTTACTCGTTGGAAAGGATGATTTTGGGCAAATTAGGGAATACATTTGGTTTTATATATTTTTATTATCAATGTCCCAATTGCTTTATACTAATGATACAATTATTTTTTGTGAGGCGAATGCAAAGCAGCCAGGACACCTCTGTTGTGTGCTTCGTTGTTTTGAGGCATGATCTCAAGGTGAAACTAAGAAAATTGAATTTGATATGCCTAATGGATGTGGCTTTATCCTCCATTTTGGGTTTTCAAGTGGAATGCTTGCCTTCAGCTTGTTTGGATTTATCTCTAGGCTCTTTTTTTAAGGCAAGGAGATGAGTACAAAAGGGTAGTGAAGTTGACATTGTTCATTATCTAGACAATGTGATTGATTCTCATTCAATTTATTTGCAATGATTTCTTCTATGCAGGATATTTTGTTTTCATTCCTTATGTTAGTTTAGTTCTTCTATTTCTCTGTTTTCTTTCTCGGCCCAAAGCATAAACTCCTGTTTTGTTTTATTTTATTTTAAATGTTTTCATGATGCAATCTGTGGTGGCATAATTACATAAAAGAATCCATTTGTTAAGTGATTTTTTCACATTTCATCAACATTATGTTCTAATTTGTTATATCTTCATGCATTTTAACAGAATGAGCTCAAGGCCAGGTGGGATGTAGACAAGTCAATGCTAGAAGAATCAAAGAATTTAGCTGAGAATAAGTACAATGAAATTAATGAACAGGTCATTGATTGATTTGCTTCATGAATATGCTTATGATGTCCAGTAGACTCTTTTATGCACATCACATATCACATATTTATGTACATAACTGTATGCATGTATATTTAGTCAATGCCATAAATCAATTAAAATAAGTATGAAAACGTATCCAAACTCCTCTTCATTTGGCTAGAAGTTGTGCAAGAGCAATGCATGTCATTATAGTTTGTAAGTCACATTCGTAACTCACATTGAGAGATGAAGAAGATAACAAATAAATTAAGTGGGAAGTCAGAGAGAGAGAGAGAGAGAGAGGTCTTTGAGAACCCACTTTAAAGTAGGAGGGACCTGCAAGAGGTTGTTTTCTCTTTATGTAGTAGTATGGATTTCGAGGTTCTGAATCAGATATGCAGTAAAAAACAGTGTCATGATATTAATTGGATGTTGTGCTTTGTCTATTATTTTTCTTTCTTGGAACTGTTATGTGGGTTGAATGTTTGGATAGGTTAAAATCTGCAAGATCATAAGATTTGTGTTTAATTCATCTCATGGTGATGATGGCAAATTGAACAGTTAATTCACTTCTTTCATAAATTTTAGCAATTTATTCATTTTATAGCAATCATGCAACAAAAAAGGCACATAATAATATTGTTAAATACAATTTTAAGAATTTGGGTGATGGAAACTCCAGAAGGTGGTGTTAAGAATTTGGGTGATAGTTCACCTTTGATGCAGTCTAAAGGGTACAAGGAGGTAAAAAGCCTTGGTGCTTCTATTGATCAATCTATTGATGTTGCTGGAATCTGCAATGAGGCAGCTACTCTTGATCAAGAAGACATGGTTATTGATGAAAGTAACTCTGGTGAACCATGGGTTCAAGGACTTATGGAAAGCAAGTATTCTGATCTGAGTGTTGAGGAACGCCTTAGTGCCGTTGTTGCTTTAATTGGTGTTGCGAATGAAGGAAACTCAATTCGCATTATTCTAGAGGTAATATTGTGTATTCTCTTGACTTAGGGTATTTTTTATTATTATTATTTTCTGCTTTTGCATGTCTGTGATATGAAATGTGGGAGTTTTTCAGGAATGTTTGGAAGCCGCAAATGCTCTAAAGAAGCAAATGTGGGCAGAGGTACAACTTGATAAATGCTGAATGAAAGAGGAGTATGCGATGAAGATACAGTATCCATCTTGCATCAGTGACAAGACTGAACCAAATGTTCAAATTTCTTCTGTTGAGGGCAGGCAAAGCCCATTGCCTACTGTTGATGACAAAAATAATTTGGTATCAACAAATCCTGTAGAACAGAAAGAGCACCTTCATGACGCACAGAATGACCCCAACTATCCTATTCATATGCCCTCCAAACGGAACCCACAAATACAAGAGGTCTCTACATGCACAGATAATCTTTCACTCCTGCAACCTGGATATGCTGCTGAAAGGTCATGGTCGCAGTTAAAATCTTATATTGGTCATAAGGCAGAAGAGATGTATGTATACAGGTCCTTGCCTCTTGGGCAAGATCGCAGGCGGAACCGTTACTGGTAGTTTATAACGTCTTCTTCTCGAAATGATCCTGGGTCTGGCAGGATTTTCGTTGAGTTACGTCATGGCTGTTGGAGGCTTATTGATTCTGAAGAGGTAAGTGTTATTATTTAGTTATGCATTATTTTCTAAATTGTTGTTATGCTAGGTCTGAGCGTATGTTATGCATATATTAGTGCCAATTGTTATTTTCTTGTTTAGCAGCAGCTACTCCTTGTTTTTGTGCCCCTTTTCTTCGGGTATAAAAAGGTTCTCGTGGTCTTACTTTTTATTAAAATTTCTTCAAGAGTTCTTACTTGGAAAGGATTGCATGTAGTAATTGGTGTTTACCCTTTGTTCTTTGAAATCTGCTGTTATGTTAATTTTTTATTTATTTATTTTTGTTTCAATCTCTCTAGAGGATTATGAGGCTTTCATTTCTTAGTTTTTATGAATTTCTCAAGATTTCTTTGGTTTGTGACTATTCATTTTGTTTGATATGGTGGCTAAATCAAATTGTGCCTGGTTCTGATTGAGATCTTATCTATAGCTTGCGGCAAGGCTTGGATCTCCAGAGTCATTACAACAGCTGAATCCTGTTGCCAATCCTACTACTCTTTTTGCTGTTTTTGTTAAGAAGGATAATACCAGACAACCTACAGAGCAATTAATAAAATTAATTTAACTGATTCTGTTTGACTTTTGTTTACTTCATCCTTTTGATGTGAATTTTAATTATAGGTATTTCTCGATCTGTTTGATGTGAATTTTAATTGACTTTTGTTTACTTCATCCTTTTGATGTGAATTTTAATTATAGGTATTTCTCGATCTGTTTGATGTGAATTTTAATTGACTTTTGTTTACTTCATCCTTTTGATGTGAATTTTAATTATAGGTATTTCTCGATCTGTTTGATGTGAATTTTAATTGACTTTTGTTTACTTCATCCTTTTGATGTGAATTTTAATTATAGGTATTTCTCGATCTGTTTGATGTGAATTTTAATTGACTTTTGTTTACTTCATCCTTTTGATGTGAATTTTAATTATAGGTATTTCTCGATCTGTTTGATGTGAATTTTAATTGACTTTTGTTTACTTCATCCTTTTGATGTGAATTTTAATTATAGGTATTTCTCGATCTGTTTGATGTGAATTTTAATTGACTTTTGTTTACTTCATCCTTTTGATGTGAATTTTAATTATAGGTATTTCTCGATCTGTTTGATGTGAATTTTAATTGACTTTTGTTTACTTCATCCTTTTGATGTGAATTTTAATTATAGGTATTTCTCGATCTGTTTGATGTGAATTTTAATTGACTTTTGTTTACTTCATCCTTTTGATGTGAATTTTAATTATAGGTATTTCTCGATCTGTTTGATGTGAATTTTAATTGACTTTTGTTTACTTCATCCTTTTGATGTGAATTTTAATTATAGGTATTTCTCGATCTGTTTGATGTGAATTTTAATTGACTTTTGTTTACTTCATCCTTTTGATGTGAATTTTAATTATAGGTATTTCTCGATCTGTTTGATGTGAATTTTAATTGACTTTTGTTTACTTCATCCTTTTGATGTGAATTTTAATTATAGGTATTTCTCGATCTGTTTGATGTGAATTTTAATTGACTTTTGTTTACTTCATCCTTTTGATGTGAATTTTAATTATAGGTATTTCTCGATCTGTTTGATGTGAATTTTAATTGACTTTTGTTTACTTCATCCTTTTGATGTGAATTTTAATTATAGGTATTTCTCGATCTGTTTGATGTGAATTTTAATTGACTTTTGTTTACTTCATCCTTTTGATGTGAATTTTAATTATAGGTATTTCTCGATCTGTTTGATGTGAATTTTAATTGACTTTTGTTTACTTCATCCTTTTGATGTGAATTATGCCAGGTGGTATTTCTCGATCTGTTTGATGTGAATTTTAATTGAATTTTGTTTACTTCATCCTTTTGATGTGAATTTTAATTATAGATATTTCTCGATCCGTTTGATGTGAATTTTAATCTAACTCAGGTTTGTTAAGGGAACCAGACCATATATGTTCCCTGTTCTGTGTTGGCTAGAACATCTTGGGGGAGAGGTGAAGATCCTTCACAAGGATCTGATATTGGTTAAACTTCACTCATTTCTTCACCTGCAGAATTTTCTTCTTCAAGCTATGTCTCTTAACTGTTATCTCCATTTTTTTTGTTTGCCTCAGGTATGCATTAGATGATATTGGTTTTGGATCTCATGTGCATCTCAGTTTGTGTCAGAGTTGAACCCATATGAATAGGTAGTTTGGTACTAACAGAGAAGTATGCATTTTTACCAGTTCTGTTAAAATATCTTGTCTACATAGAATTATTTTTTAAGCATGCAGTTATATTTGGAAATTTGATGGGTGTACTATTGATCTTGAGGAAAACCTTTCACGGTGATGTTTCCATCGATGGGTGTACAAATTGGTTTCTGCTTTTAAGACCAATAAGCTTTATTGATCCTTATTTGTTTTATAGTTTTTAGTGAGTTATATGTTGATATCATATGATTTTGATTGTCCATATAATACTCCATTTTATCATTTATGTGATCCTTTCTGCATTGTTGCATATTGTCTTCTTTTGTGGTGTTGTTTTACTGATATTTATGTGGAGAATCAAAATAATTATGTCATTTTTGGTGGCTGTGGGGAAAGGATTGGGGGCAGTTTAACAACTGGATAAATTACATTATTTTTGGTGTGATTTAAATGTAAGTTTATAAATTAATTAGTAAGTTTATTCATATGCTTCTGGCAGTTTTTAAATTAATTTATTTTTTTTATTTTTCGGGTCAGAAATTTCTTGGAGAGATGCAAAATATGGTCAAAGAATTCAAGAACTTATTTTTATTTTTTATTTTTTAATATATGTAATCACAGTTAATTTTTTTTTATTAATTTCTTTGTATATACTTTTAAACATTTAACTTTCATTTATGAAATATATGATATTATTTCATTCAATATATGGTTGTGATTTGAAATATAGTATATAGTGTGTATTACATTTTTTAAATGCGCGTGCAAAAATAATATTGATTATTCTTTAAATATGTCAATTTTTTTTTTATCACAGGTTTTATTAGTTATTAATCACACTTAAAAGGTGTGATCTAAATGTTTTTAATCACACTTAAAAGGTGTGATCTAAAGTCTTTAATCACACTTAAAAGGTGTGAACTAAAGTTTTTAATCACACTTAAAAGGTGTTATCTAAATGTTTTTAACCACACTTAAAAAGTGTGATCTAAAGTCTTTAATCACACTTAAAAGGTGTGGACCAAAGTTTTTAATCACACTTAAAAGGTGTGAACCAAAGTTTTTAATCACACTTAAAAGGTGTGATCTAAATATTTTTAATCACATTTAAGAGGTGTGATCTAAATGTTTTTAATCACACTTAAAAGGTGTGATCTAAATATTATTAATCACACTTAAAAGATGTGATGAAAGCATTTTTTAATGACACTTAAAAAGTGTGATTAAAAATGACCATTTTTAATCACACTCCTAAAGACCACACTTTAATAAAACTTAAAAGGTGTGATTAAAAAACATACATCACACCAAAAAAGTGTGATCTTTATCTATATTTGTAGTAGTGATTTTTGCTGTGACTTAATCAAATGAAGTCTAAACTCCAAAGAGAGAAAATGCAATCTTAAGACTGAGGATGGTAGCAGGAACCAACATATTCAAAAAAATATCTCATAAGCATTCATAAAGTTAAAGTAGCTAAGCAACAATGAACATCTACAGGTTCTACCCCACACAATATGGTGTTCTAAGTTAAAAGAAAATACAAGCAAAAAATGATGAGGCACATAGCAATTTAAATCCCATTACTATTGACTAATATATGGGTCTTTTAACCTGAGGTCAGAGAGTTGCTTCACCTCTTACCCCAAACTATGTAAGGAAAGTCACACCACCTAAGGTTGTTATTAGATACATGCAGTTAGCAGGAAGAAATATTTCATAAAAAGGGCCAGATGTCACCCTTAACATTGCAATAAAGGAAGAACAATCTAATGCATGGGATCTTCACGAAGAAGAACTACATTTGTAGGAAGCTTTACAAGTTGCACCTATTTATTACTTGAAAGTACTGCAATAGCATTTCTTTGTATGTCAATGACAGAAAACATATCACATGGACAACTGTTACTAGTGAGAAGTTGGAAACAAAAATCCAAATAAGAAACTTCCTTGCTCTAATTCTTGGACAGGTCATGGTGGTACATGCCTTTTGGCACTGAGTTCCGCCAACCTTATATTACAACATGGAATAAAAGATGCACCTAGACCTCATGAAATTAGCAATTTTTCACATAAGCTATGTGAAATTTGGCTTCCTTTTTTTTTTTTTTTGTTGATAAATAAGTGAAATTTGGCACATTGAGCTGCGGCATCAAAACATTTTGTGCCCCACAAAATGTTAGCAACAATATATATATATAGCTCAATTGAACCAACAAGGAGTATTGGTTGAAATGCCAAATAACAGTAATAGTAAAGCAACTTTACAATCCTATTCATGGAAATCCTATAACAAGCATAGCATAATGCAAGAAGTTGGTAATCAATGGTGTTTAATAACTGTTTTGTGTTTGTGTGTGACAACTTAAACTCCTTCAAGGAAGTATCATGCATGTAGTAGTATCTTTTATTATAAGATACAATTGGCATCGTCATAAAACCCTCAAACCTCGGCACATAAGGATCATAATAATTTCAAATTGATGTCCCATTTTAAATTTCTAATAATGATACTGCAGGTTAAGCAACTGAGGGTCATTAAAGAAATATGCTAAAAGTTAATTGGCCAACAAAAAATAGAAAACCTTACAATAAGAAGGTGCTAAAAAATTAAGAACGAACCATGGAACTCAATTCAATACCTCAATATAAATAATACAGAAACAGTGCAATGAATTGAAAAGAGGTATGCTCATATTGCTTACCTCCATGGCCATCATAAACACCAAAGAAAGACGTGGATGTGTCCAAATCCAGATGAGTTGCATGCTTTAGAACACAAGAACACCTCATATGAGTACAACACATAATCAGCTAAATAACAAATTAAACAAAAATTTAACCAGAATGCCACTAATTTTCCCTACTCTACCCCATGAAACCTTTAATGTGGAATCCAAGGTTAACAAACTACTTTCAAGGTAAAATAAGAGTAATATGTTATGGATATTCATCAAAAAGGTCAAGCCACTGGTTTCACTGATTCTATGGTGTTGTTAAGATAGATGATCATGCAAGGTTATACAGAGAATAAAAGGGATAACAAAGTACTTGTACTAAGCACAGTTGCAGGAATACTTGTAACTCAAGTACTTGTACTACATAATTCAAAATGTGAAGAAGATACGAACATACAAAGATACAAAATTCTTTCTTTCTTCTCTCTCTCTCTCTCTCTCTCTCTTTTCTTTTTCTTATGTCTGATTTTCTAACTTATCCTCAGATAGCAAGGTCCTATTGTGAATGAAACCAAAAAAAAAAAAACCCTAGAACTAAAAGAAAACATAGAAATGAATCTAATGTACCGATACTGTCAGTGAGTTGAGATAGATGTGAAACCAACAAAAACTAAAACTAAAATTGAAGAAATTGATCAGTGGAATGAAATCACATGGAATTAAAATGCAAGAATTGGATATTCAAATGAAAACAGAACTTGTTAAATTCGATTATGGAATTTTTCTTAGGCAACTGATGAAGACCTGTGAAGGTAGTATTTTGGATTTTCCTGCTCCTTCAACTTAGGAATTCGCGATGTGAATGGATTGAGAGGCAAAAAAAACACAAAATTAAGGATATGGTAAAAGTAGATAAAGTTATATCTCTATAGAGAGAGAGATAAATTATAGAATAAAATATCCATAAACAGAAAAAGAAAGATAAATTATAGAATAAAATGTCCATAGACAGAAAAAGAAAGATAAATTATCGAATAAAATGTCAATAGACTAGGGTGATAACAGAGATGTATACATAGGTCTCTTTTATGTGCACAAAGGCATCACCCACTTCACAACCATTTGGTCTCTACACCATCTAACTACAGACTATGGTAAGTCTTAGTTCATTCTAATTCTCTCATTTTTTCTCTCTATTCAGTTCTGTTATCAACACAGAAACCAAATACAAAATACATATGGATAAGATTTTTAAGAGTTGGGAGAGCCCATTTTTAAAAATCATATATAAAATTTTGTAATCGGTTTCTGTGTTTCTGGACTTGTTCCTGTGTTACAGACATAAATAAACACATAATACATATAAATAGACAAGATTTTTAAAAAGTTGGTTTGTGAAAAAACTATCCATTCACATATATTGTGTTCAATTTTGTGATCGGTTTTTGTATTCCTAAACTTATTCGTATATCAATTGTTGACCCTACATCAATTGTTGACCCTACATCAACTAAAGAGTATTTGAAAAAGAACAGAGCTAACATGTAGTGTGTTTATGTGTTCATGAGAGCATAGATGGCAACCAGGATCCATTAAATAATAAACTAATCAAAATCATCTCACCTGTAAGGAATGTGGTGGTGGGTCGTAGTGTCTCTATATTTTTTAGACAGACCAAAGTCAATGATGTAGACCTAAAAAAAAGAGAAATGGAAGGACTAATAAACACAGATATCGGGGGGAAAAATTTTAACCAGCACAAAGATGGAAGTTTTGACAGGAAACTTGGGTTGCACGCCTTGCCAAGCCCATAAGAAAATTGTCTGGCTTGATATCCCGATGTAAAAAGGATTTAGAATGGACAGACTCAACTCGATTGATCTGAAATAAATACCAGGTACAAGTGTTGATAGACTTAGAATTATCTAAATGCAATAATAGTATGCATTAAATCAAATGCAGTTACCATTTGATCTGCAAGCATAAGAATAGTCTTTAAAGAAAGTTTCCTACTACAAAAATTGAACAAATCTTCAACACTAGGTCTAAGCAAATCCATCACTAGAACATTGTAGTCTCCCTCCACTCCAAACCATCTCACATGCGGAATTCTAGCTGTAATATTTCAGAAGTGTTATAAACAGAAAATAGTATCAAATATATGAGCAAAAGAGCTCATAACAGATCAATTGTCCCACTAAAATAATAAATTAATAAAAACAGTCATTACTTCCTCCCTGTAGAATTCTGTATAACTTTGATTCGTAAAGTAACTGAGGAGTTTTGTCCTCACATTCTTCTGATGATTTGAAACAGTATTAGCAGCTTATCAACCATAAAAGGTTAAAGACCAAACCAGTACAGCAGAGAATCAAACATGAAGTTAAGATAGGATATGCAAGGATAGGCATCTCAAAGAGACTGGCTAGTGGCTGATTTTATAGATAGCAAAAGTTTTGGGGCCCTGTATCAATTCCTTGCAATATAAAATCCATCCACATAAAGTGTATCACTCTTATTTGTAATTTGGCAATGATTTCAGCACAGATGCAGTGTTGTCATTGCCAATTAAACCAACTGATGAAGACTTTTCACTGTGCTGCCAATGCATATATGTCAGCACTTGCATAGATTACATGAAGTAACAAAAATTATACATAGAAATCTTGCCTAATCATTCCATCAAGTTATGAAAACTATAGTTAAATCCCTATTTATCTTTCATTTACTAAATTAACAAAACAGATGCACACTTTCTTGCATAGTACAAAATGATTCCAGGAGACGAATCAAGCAGATTAGGCATCAAAAGTTAACAATCTCAAGAGGCTTACACCACGGTTCAGCCTGAAGTACATCTTTTGTGCGTCAGAGGAAGAATGTGCAAAGAAATGAAAATAACTTGAACAATGATGTTCATAGGGATGAGAGGTAACTTGAGGATGATAACAGTAGCATAAAAAAACAATTTGATGAATGTGTTTGCAAGAGTTATGAGGCAACAATAAATAAAGATCAAATAAGAATAGTTCTCAAGGTTATGTGACACAACACAGAATACTCACTAACGACGAGTAGCTTGATTTGATGTGAAGACACTACTAGTTGAATGTGAACACAAGAATCGAGAGTGATGAAAATTTTAATGATGAAAATTTTATGGTCCAAAAGCATATGAACAAAAAGCATGAAACAGAGTTCGAGGATTATTTGCCTTGTATCATAAATTGCAATTTTGGTAGTCTAGATTCAGGCAATTAGATTGCAAATTAAATACATAGAAGGCTTATCAGACAATTCATATGCAAGTTATAAATCTTGAGATCATAAATCATAGTTTTACTCCAAAAGCCCCATTATAAAGAAACTTTTCTTGAAGCAAACCATCAAATCATGCACAAACAAAGATGAATTATGCCCAAAACAATACCTGAGCCTATCCAAGAAAAAGTAACTAAATAAGCCAAACAAGCATCTATGGTGAATCCATTCAACTAAACCAAAGAATTCAAATGTACAATTGTGTAGCTACGATTGCAAACTAGGAAGAACATCTAAATAAGAGAATGAATCATTGAACCTGACTATAGGAATTAGGCTTCTTTGGTGTTTCTATGATTTCCTATGGTGTTTCAACCCAACTGAGTAATATTTGGGAAGCTAAAAAATCTGGACTGTTGCTGCATGAGATGTTTCACTAATTGTACTTGTAGGAACCATGCCACAACTATGACAAGATTTGATCATAAATGGCATGCATGATGCAGCACAACTGTTAATTCTGGAAACTAGTTGTTATGACAGTGAACTACCCTGGTTTAGACTGTCGAAGGTTTAGTAGTAATTTCACTTGTTGGGAATCCAAATAATTGAATCCAAAAAAAGAACAAGCTTTTGTGGGTCATGAATGTCAAAATTGTATGATATCAACAAAGATGAACTGTGTTATCATGTTTTTATGGCCTACCAAACAATATTGACCTTCTCATTCATTTATCTTGATTTGTTGGGAGGCTTGAAATTCCTTCAATTTGTTGCCTTTATACATGTAGAGTGTCAATTGCCCCATTTAGTTTGTTTATTTATCAAAAAAAAAAAAAATTGTCCCATTTAGTTTGTTTATTTCTCTTTTGCATAAGAAAATTCCCACAATTACTTAATTATTATTGTCGTTATTGGCCCTAATTACCTATATTTTTCTCATTTTTTCCTTGTCTATTAGTGATGATGATCATACAGTTGCTGGGGATGTAGAAACCAAAACTGAAGTTTTGAAAGCTTCGACAAAAAAAGCCAGGGCTGATAGAAGGAGTCAAGTGATTGATTCAAAAGACCAACCTAGTGAATCAGTTTCAGATGAGTCTCAGAAATGTATCTCAGAAAAGGAAAATGATGCTTCTGATGTAATGAGTATAGTTCGAGGGACATGTGGTAGACCTTTCAAGGGCCAAGCATGCAGTAATCATAGTGATGGGTCCTCAAAAGAAAGAGAAAATGCGGCTAGTTTGAGAGTGAAACTGTTACCTTAGTACCAGGGGCTGCTTGGCAGATCTCCTCCTCGGGAATAATAACAGGTCACTGCTCACCGGTGTCGCGGAACATTTGCTCGGTCTCGAGAAGCTGACCCTTGTCGAGAATCATGGTCCTGCTGGTCGCTCGTCCAAACCAAAATTCGCCGCTTGTCGCTCGCCTTTGTGAGAGAGAGAGAGAGAGAGTGAGAGAGAGACAGTGTTTCGAAACTTAGAGCTCTGCAAACCTGAAAGGAAATGAAAAAATGGGGGGAAAGACATAGGGAAAAAAGGGGGGAAATTAAGTTTAGGCGTGCAGGTCAGTGAAAAAAGGGGGAAAATTTGTTTCATTTTTATTTTAATGAATTTTTTTTTTCTATTTGGTAGGAGTAAGGGTAATATTTTAATGAAAAATATTTTTTGTTAAAATAAAATTAATTTTTTATGGTCAATGAAAAATATTTTTTTGTGGCACATTTTTTTTTTGTTACTAAAAATCAAGAACTAATTTTTTGTGGTAGTGGAGAGGGAGCGACAGTAGTAGTGGTGAAGGTGATGTATAAGAGGTGATGGTGGTGGTGGTGGTGGTGGTGGTGGCAAAGGAGATTAGTGGTGCAGTTGTGGTAGTGGTAGAAGAGATGGAGTGGCGGTAGTAGAGGAGAGGTAATAGTAGTAGTAGTGGTGGTAGTGGTAACGACGGTGGTAGTAATGGTAGTCGTAGAGGTGGAGTGGCAACAATGGTAATAATGCCGGTAGTGAAATGACATTTGCAGTAGTAGTGAATGTGGTAGAGGAGATGGGTGGTGAGAGAGAGATGAGTGAGAGAGAGAGAGAGAGAGAGAGAGACAGAGACAGAGACAGAGTGATAAGTGAGAGAGAGACAAAGTGGTCACTAAAAGTATTTTTTACATGAGAGAGAGAGAGACAAAGTATTTGCCAAAACTATCTATACAGCGACTAAAATAAATTACATTTTTGCCGACCAAAATTTTGGTCGCCAAAGATAAAAAGTAAATTTTTATTTTTCTTTCCGCGACTAAATTATTTTAATTGCCAAAACTATCTATACAACGACTAAAATATTTTTTAGTTGCTGAAATTAAATTTTTGCCGACGAAAATTTTGGTCGCCAAAGATAAAAAGTAAATTTTTATTTTTCTTTCTGCGACTAAATTATTTTAGTTTCCAAAACTATATATACAGCGACTAAAATATTTTTTAGTCGCTGAAATTACATTTTTGCCGACCAAAATTTTGGTCGCCAAAGATAAAAAGTAAATTTTTATTTTTCTTTCGGCGATTAAATTATTTTAATTGCCAAAACTATCTATACAGTGACAAAAATATTTTTTTAGTCGCCAATTGTGACAAATTTAGCGACTAAATTATTTTTAGTCTCCAATTGTGAGATTTTTAGTGACTAAATTTTTTTTTAGTCGCCAAAAATTAATATACCCCGAGTAAAAAAATTTAGTAGCTAAATATTATACTTTTACCGACTAACATAATTTTTGGTCGCTAATTCCACAAGTTTTGGCAACCAAAATATTTTTAGTCGGCAAAAGTGGTCGCCAATTGTGTATTTTCTTGTAGTGTGGGATGGGTCATGGGAATGATAACCACAAGAAAAAGCAGAATTGGCGACTAAAATGGAATTAGGCGACTAAAACAGTTTAGTAGCCAAATGTGTAGTTATTGGCGACTAAAAATCAGTTTAGTCGCCGATTATATGGGTTTTAGCGACTAAAAAAATTTTAGTAGCCAAAAGTGAAGGTTTTTGACAACTAAAAAAATTTAGTAGCCAAAAGTATAGGTTTTGGCGACTAAAAAATAGTTTGGTCACCGATTATACGTGTTTTACCGACAAAAATAAATTTTGTAGCCAAAAGTGAAGCTTTTTGGCTACTAAAAAAAATTTAGTAGCTAAAAGTGTACAATTAGCGACTAAAATTCAGTTTAGTCGTCAAAAGTGGAGGTTTTGACGATTAAAAATAAGTTTAGTCGCCAAAAGTGGTTATTTTTAGGCAGGAATTAATTTTTTTAGCGACTAAAAAATAATTAGTAGCCAAAACTATAGAATTGGCGACTAAAAAACAAATTTAGTCGCCAAAAGTGCTCTCATTTTTTTTAGTAAATAATCTATTTTTTACATAAATTATATTGAATAAAAATAATTATGTTTGTATATATAGTTTTATATTAATACGAGTCAATATAGTATATAAATAATATATGTTGTATATATACTCGTGTGGTGTTGTAGTGGCATAGTGGAGAGAGTGTGTTAATAAAGGTTTAGAATGTGGGAGGTTGGTGGTTCAAATCTTAGAGAAAGCGAAAAAGTTAGTATTTTTTTTTTCACGACAACCTTTGGCGACTAAACGGTTTAGTCGGCGATTCATTGACTATTGGCGACTAAAAGATTAGTCGCTAAATGTATAATTAAAAAGTGTAATTGACTATTGGCGACCAAAACTTTGATCGCTAAAGACCTATTTTTTACTGACTAAAACTTTTTTAGTCGCCAATA